TTATTCACACACACACACACAACATTTGGAACTATGTTCCCTGAATCAATCATGTGTGAAGTAGTCTGTCTAATGGGTGGTGCCAAACTTAACTTTCTCTTAAAGCAAACAATCAAATCAAAATGTTAATGATATTAACCCTGTTGTGAATTTTCTTCCGCTGTTTCATTTTATTCTTGGGTTCTATGGTCAATCTTCATTTGTCTTTGAAATATTCAAATTCTTGTGTTGATTGAAACACGAACCTGTTCTTGTTCAAAGTTTCCACATGGCACATGGGTGAATGTTTATTTGATATGATAATGCTAGTAGTGAGCAATGCTTTTCTTTACAGAGAGCTGCAATATGACATCGTGACGGGACAAGCTCGCTGGCCCAACGAAAAATTTAAGGTGTGTTTGCCCTCGATCTCATTTCTTTGCCTGAGCCAGGAACAGAAGAAAAAAAAACCTCTGACGTGTTGAACATTAGCGTTGAGAAACCCGTACTTACAGTCAGCTGGATTTATAGAGCAAAATACGAAACTGTGCTTTAAGATATCTAGTGATGGCAAGGTTTGGGTAGTCATAATTACCTAAGACACCTTAGCCATCCTATTCGTTGAGAGCCTGTCACATGACCGGTCTCAAACTGAAAACCACCGGCTGGCTGTAGGCCCACGTAATATCTTCAAGCCACGCGTGCGTCAATCCTCACATTTAGGGTGGTTTCTACTCGCGAGACCAACATGTATGCATGTACCATTCACATGGCTGGAGAGGTGTTTGAAAGAAAATGAGGTGAAAGTGTTTAAGATAATCGTATAAAATTTCAGTTTGTTTTACACTTGTTTTGACTGTGTGACCCGAAAGATAATTATGATTATGTATTCAATTGGTTGGTTTTAAACGTTCTATAAATTTAGATCGGCTCAGGAGAATGGACGTTGATAATGTGCCTCGTCTTTGGCTTATTTGTTCTCGGTATACTGCGGGAGTGGTCGCTTTATGACATGACCATTTCATTATATAGCAAAATTTTGTTTTGTCAATACAGGTGATTCATGAAAGTGCTCCTCCGAGAGTTTGCGACGCGTTGACCAATAACATTGCGCGAAATCTGTCGACCCAATGTTTGGTAGGAAAGGGTCGACAGATTTCGAGCATTGCGATTGGTCAACGCCTTTGCAAACTCTTGGAGGTGCGCTATTGTGAAGCGCCCGTGTTAAATTATGTTTCGGTGCTATTTTACCCGATGAATTTGCAGCTTTTCCTCGATGATAATATTGGGAACTTTTCTGATGACCTGTATCAAGACATAGACAGCGGTGGAGATCCAGATTTCTTGGAGTACGTATACACTTATCTATTTTACTTCATCGAGGAAAAAGGGTGCAGTTGAGAATTAAAAGGAAATTACATTTTTACCAAATGCGGTGCTGATTCTGATCTGGCCCAATCTGCTTTTGCGGTTTAAATTTGAATAAAATCTGGTACACAGAGTTATATGATTGCACATATGCACAACAATTCCAATTCCCAGACTAAAAGACACTGTTGGCTAATATACCTCGTATTTCGGGGCAAGCTTTTGCATACTGACGGCCACCATCTCTGGAATGGACTTGTTGCTTTGTGCCCTTCTTATCCATAGATAGTGCACTGGTGCAATTTATAGGCTTCTCTTATGTAACTAAATAAAACATTGCCACGAATCATGAGGTATAGCAACAGTGTTTTCTGGAGAATTCACATTGTTATGTTTAGACCTAGCTGAATTTGAAGAACAAAGTATACACGATTTTATTCCAAATTCAAAGACTTATTTGATCAGTCGCTGTCATAGCTTTGGTTTAAAGCAGCAACATTCATCTATTCATTCATTTTCTGTCCTGGATTTTTGCTACAACTTTGACCTCCTAACCCCTATCATTCCAACAGTCTTCTAAGTTCGCTTTTGCAAAATGGTTTTTTCTACAGGAAGAACCTTCTCAAGGTGAACGTCTATTACGACAAGTTGGAGTACACGACCATCTATCAAGACGTAGCTTATGATGTGAGTCTGTTATTGCTGGCAATTTTCCCTTAAAAAAGGAGCTGAAATCAACATTCCCGCCTCTTTTTGGATACGAAAACCACCCAACTCTATAAACGGCACAGCATTCAAAATGCAAGGTTTCAGAAAAACGTCCATTTTGTGTCCCCCCACCAGAAATACCTGAATATGGTATCCGCTTTGAGCAGAAACACCCCTTCATCGGGTCAACTGAGCAAGATTGGCCAGGAGAGCACTAGAGTGCTCATTTTGCTGGTATCTACTCGACCGTAACGCATGCATTTCATATTCGATCGTGAACCAGCGAAGTGCAGTTCCACCCAAGGGCACCTCCGTTTCTAGGAAGCTTGCGCCCTCTCTTGGTTTAGCTCGGGGCTCATTATGTAGGCCTGCTGATCATCTGTGGGGGTAAAATTAAGGGAGGAGCCTGAACCACAGGGGGAGGAGGAGCTTCTTAATGCATATTCTGTAGCATATTGTAGGGTCAGGTATGTTTCTTTTCACAAAAATATGACTGTTTTGGGGGGAGGGGCTAATTGGCTCCCCCGCATGTACCCTTGTGCAAAAAGTAATAAGCCTCTGTGCACTTTAATGTTGAAGATTGTTGTATCATGACTATCCATTGTATTTTCATAGCATATAGCCCTGCTGAGCGATATGGGCGGCAACGTTGGATTGTGGATAGGAGTGTCTGTTCTTACAGTCTTTGAATTCATCGAGTTGCTCTACGATCTGGGCAAGCTCATATTCTACAGGTAATTAAAACACCCCCCCCCTTTAGACGAATACAGCGCGGATCACCATTAGAATTGGCCTCGCTGGGCCATTTTGAGTTTGGAGGTGAGGGGTGAGGAATGACGTCAAAGCTGTCATGAGGAAGGGTTGAAGCCTACCTATACGTTTGTCAGCAGGGATGAAAAACTGGGATGAAAGTCATTTAGACACAGGTCCTTGCACGAGATGAGTCATATACATGTAGGTAAGCTGGTTGAACAAATCCACAAAGTGTTACTACATTGCATTATGACGGCAAAGTTGAATAGCTAATGAATTGGCTCGAAACTGGACGACATTTGCAACGGACTTGTGATGGATTCCATTGTCCAGTGCCTAATTATGCAGAAATCAGTGTGTGGAGTGATGCAAGGCGATGGTGAACAAGTGTAAGCCCTTGTTTCTGTCTGTCTTCTTTTTTGCGTAGGGTTATCAACAAAAATGCCACGAGGAAAACAGGCAAGGTGACGTCATCAGATGTGGACTTGCAACACGTGTCCAACCTCAAAATCGCCAGCGAGGCTTGAACTGCGGGCTGATACGCCCATCGTGCGTGACTTGTATAGTGTCTCATTTTCAGCAATTAGGATATAGTCTTTTGGGGATATATTTTCTATGTTTCCTTTTTTTCTGTGGAAATGAGCTCTTTACGGCAACTGCAAACCTCTTAGCTGCCTGAGGAAAGCAGCCGCTGCGGACAGTATGCAGTTAGATTCACTGCGTAAGTACGTGGCACTCCTACCAAGTACGGAAAAAAAAACATGACTGAAGCCGTCTCCAAGCTACTTTTAGAGGTTACGCTGATGCGTTTTAAAACCGTAACTGTCGGCAAAGTTATGCCTCCTGACGTTATGTCTTTCGAGCAAGAAGAGCACACATTTTTCAAGGATCTGAAATGGGGTATCTCTTGTGAAGTTAAATTCAATGTATGCCATGGGGACAACCGATCGTCTCGGTTTGAGCATTTGCGATTCCGTGTGTTATTAACGAAACCGCGTTAGGGAAAGGTTGTGCATGTACCTATTACGTTCGTCTCGTTATAGTCGCCTATGAAGTTTTAGTCATCCGGTGAAAACATAGAATCGGTGGCAAACGGATCGTATTTGAGGCCTGAAACTCCGAGGAAAAGGCTGAATTTGATTTTAGATATTTCTGAATTTGTCAATGTGATTTGCTGTGCTAAAAAATCTGCTAGCGTGCAGTAAAGTTTAATTTTGTTTCTGCCTTTTGAGGGAGACTTTATTTTTACGGGTACGTAGGATCTTTCTATTGGGCATTCGTTTGTTGCTGAGGTGAAGCAAACTGTATCATCGCATGGGTGTGAGTTTGATCAGAAAGTTGCCTTGGATTGAGATTTTAGCCTCTATGCATCATAGACTAACTGTGGACAGACAGTGCAACTAAACGGCTTTTCTGCGTGGTTGCTACAATTTGTCTTTAGCATGATCACGCTCGAAATGCCTTATCTCTACAGCTTTATATATAGTTAATAATGTTCATTACCACCATTATTAGTTTATTTGATTATTCATAATGTACGGATGTTACATACCGCAACAGATTTTGCGACACCGGGATAATGGGAAACTTTGAGGCGCTTGGTAGCGGTAAACGTACAGTCCTTTTTACCAGTTCTGAGCATGCGTGCGTTGTTCCGAGTAGGCGCGCACAGTTCTGAGCACGCGCAATACTGGTGAAGAACATAGAAATTCAAAGGTTGCACTACACCAAATACGCGCCCATAGAAAAGAGTGCAAAATTGCGCCGAAAATGCGCCGCCTGTTGACACTCGTAAGGAGGTTGGCCTCCGGGTTTTTTTTTACTGGAAATTCAAGATTATGGCCAAAATATCACTTTTCGTTTTAATTTCATGGGGTAAGCTGCGAAAATCCTTTTTATTTGCCTTTCAAGGAAGATACCCCCAAAACAGCAGTAAAACTAGGCGCTCATTTCTGAATGTAACCGCCCGCTTCTATCCAAAATAGGCCGGCAATTTGGGGCTTTTTATGAAATACCTCGAACTGGAAACTATCAGTCCCAAATTCTGGATTTATTTCTGTGATGCCTCCTGATTATGGCATGTCTTATTGTAAAATCCCTATGGGATCACAAAATGTTAATGAAATACAATCATTTGGTGGAATGCACCCTAAAGCAGAGGTATGACCTCTATGGTGAAGAAGGACCAGTATGTCTGCTGCCACCAACGTCTTAAAGTCTCCCATTTTTGCCTCTTTTGAATTATTCTAAACTCGTTCAGGACAAAAGTAAACATGCTACCTCTCTTGGCTTTGAATATAATCTCTGGAATACGCATTTAATGTTTTTGTTTGTAAAGTGTGTATTACAATTACACTGAAATTGTCCCACTGTTCCAAAGGATTCTCAAAAGCCGCATGCAATAGTTTTCTTTTAAATAAAATCCACAAAATTAACCTGGTTATCAGACCTAATATTAACTTCTTTTTGTCTTCATGGTAACACTTGTAAATCGGTGATGCAGACTTGTAACAGCCTTCAGTCTTTCTACTGCGCAGACCAATTTCCATAATACGGTATTCCAGTGCAAAAAAACTTGCAGTGATGTTATCGGGGCTAAAGTATTCCGTGAATAGGTACAGGTGTTCTGTCGTCCCTAATTTCCCCAGGTCGCATCACAATCGGTTCTAAAGTGACTTCGTCACAAAGGCGGACGCGCCACGATTTGCAGGCTCTCATTGGACAATCGCTGAAGTTGCGCGTTAACTTCAGGTTCCATGGTTCCATATAAACGGTGATCAATGCATGTAGAGGAGCACGTGAGCAGTGGGCGTGGTTTAAACTGAAGTGACGTCACACTACGAACCGGACACTGGCGATTCACAATAGTGCGCCTTCAAGAGTTTGCTACGAGTTGGCCAATCACTACTCCCCAAATCTGTCACAAATTTTGCGTGTTGTGATTGGCCAACTCGTCGCAAACTCTAGGAGGCGCACTATTGTGAATAGTCCATCTCAGAATTGGGCCGTTTTCCAATACTCAACTTCGTCTCCGTGTCAGGCTTCGTTCCAAAAACCAATCCCCGATTGTGGGCCTGAAGCGTTTGGATTTCATTGGATCACTGTAATTTGTGGCTTTCTTGCGTCTTATTTGATGTTCTGTGGCACTATTAGACTGATTACTGCGCTTACAGCTTTAAAGTCAACTAGTACAAAAACAGTTGAAGCCTGAGACGGAGCCGAAGTTGAGTATTGGAAAACGGTCTTGGATTGGCTGATAGTCTTTCATTGCATTTTGATGTTAGACTGCGCAGTGAGTATCTAGCTTGAAGTCAGAATTCGTCTGAGAGAGAGAAAGAGAAAGAGAAACGCAAACATTTGTAACAAAACCTTTCTGACATGTTTAAGTTGGTGTGGATGTGTATTTCATGGCACGTTATGGTATTCTCCGTTGGCACTTCAATTATTTGTTGGCCCGATAAGCACGTTGCCCGCTGCGCCTATTGGATAATCTGGTCCTTCATATCAGACATTAATTCATTGATGCTGACAAGAGTGAATTCCCCACAAAAAGGTGCCTTCTTTTATACAAGATACAATTTTACACAATAATCTATTTAGAAAAAACATACAATAACACATTTGTTTTCACGGTCCATCGGTCCGTCCCGCCAATCATTGATGTTTAATATCGGCAACAGAGTGACGTCATAGACTATCGTTAAACCTCTACACCGGCGTTGCTTTTGTTTACATTAATACTGGCCGCCATTTTTAATGGGCGAACAGTATTTGCAGAAAGTTCACCCTTTGGGCATACTCTTGTTTGTCGTGTTTCTGTTTTTGTTGTTTTTCTTTTTCCTCGAAATGCACATATTCACAAGCGATCTTCACAAAAGCAGCGCCCAATTTACGACCTACAATGTACAACTACAGATTTATAGCTCTATGGATACCGTTGAGTAGAGGAAACTTAATTAAGACGGTAATATCCCTGTCTTGGGATGGTTGGATAACCACATTTCCTGTCTCGATTGTAACCCACAAACATCACCATAACAACAGCAAATTCCTCATTAGCAAGCGCTCATAATGGGAATTCAGACGTGATATCCTATAGGCTTTAACAGGGTTTCAAGCTCTCGCAAATTTCCAACTAAGACTAGCCAGAGCGCCATACAATGCCTAAAGCGAGCCACTGTTTTTTCATATCTTTCTGAGTTGGAAACAAAACTTGGAAAGTCACTGCGACCGCCAAATCTGACCACAACGTTAGTGCATTCGGCTTGCAAAAATTTATCGTAATTCCGCGCGTGCGTCATTATGCATTTCGAAAAGTCAGGTGGTCAGCCTATTATCGTAATGGCGCCAAGTAATTTGCTTCAAAGTAGAAATAAGTCTCTGGTTCTAAGAGCTGTTTGACACTTCATCGGAGTCTTATATATTATTTAGTGAGAAATACCTTACTACATATTTTTTTTCCTGGATAATACTAGCTAACCCTCCGGTCACTTAGAGTTTTAGACACGCCCTATCGTTGTATAGGGCATTCGAAATATAACATCATGGAAAGCAATCTTCTTGTCCAAGAAAAATAAGGCCTATGTTTAGTAGGCCTACATACTATTGTAACCTCAAACTTTAAGTGTACAATGAGCGGTGCTGTTACATAGCTAAGGAGACATTTTAGACGCAGCGCCTGCTAGTTTTCAGCATACAGCTGCATCACACATGAAGTAGACCCAAATGATCATGGATTTGCCGTGCTTAATTAAAACAATAAAATCAAGTTGAATTCAATCGACATGAGATTGACTCCTAGTTCCGACAACAGAAGAGGGTTTTTAGGAATTGCAGCGGTGCCGATGGTTCTCCTCGAAGGATGATCTAGTTCTGGAAGAAATTCCTCGATTTTATTTTTCAAGCCTGTGCCAGTCTTTGGAGAGTGCAGACGTAAATGTACCAGTGTAGCGCACAGATTCGTCAAATAAGCCTCGCTCGCTCTCTTGCAACTTGAAAGAACTACACCCTTGTCATAAGTTTCTGATCTGATTGTTATTTCTCTTTTGGTATATCCGGTATTTTGCAACTGCAGCTTCGTCAAAACACGGGGGTCTTTTTCACAATGTTATTACTGGACTCTTGCTCTGCTGTTGTAAATTAATCCTCTCTCAATGGCAGCCGGAGTAAATCAAATGTTGCTAGCGTTAATAATTATGCTGTCTCTATGACTGTTTTCATAAATTGGAAAAGAACAGGCTCGTCTGTGTCACTGGGGTTCTGCTTACTATTCCCGGCCGTGTTTGTCTCATTTTGGGTGTAAACACTAGCGGTGCAACCAAAACACCCGAGGGCCGCAATGAGTAAGATTGTTACAGCACAATTACGCTTCCTCGGGAATCGTAGCAGGTGATTTTCCATAGTTGCAATCGAATTTCAGTCTGTAAGCAGGCATCTTACCAGTTTATTTGTTTGTTTGGTTTTTTTTTCAAGTCTCAAACTGTTGGGCAGTCCATAAGGCGAGAGTCGCATCGTCCTCGTCCTCAGTTTGCGTGGACTTTGACGAGCACTCCACCTTCGGTGCGCCGAGACTCGGATAGCCCATTTCAGACTCCCACAACCTCACGCTTCCATTTTGGCCCGTGTCGTTGTGACCCGCTGGTCCCGCGAGCCCTGGATCGTAACAGCAGTCTCCGGGTAGTTCTGCTCTCGCCGCTGCCGACTGTCTGCCGTTCACGGCAACCTTTTCCATCTCCAACACCGTGGCTTCGTAGCTCGGCGCCGGCTCGGCCGCTAACTTTCCCGCGGTGTTTTGGGCAGATTTCCCTCTGTCTCTTCGTTTCTTTTGACAGTAGCAGCACACGACACAAACGCCAATGGCAATTCCTATTCCCATTTCAAATGCTCAGCTGAGATTTCCAGATATCTCTCTTTTTCCAAAGATCTCTCCTTTCCATTAAATTCTTTTCTCTTCGAATGTGTTCGCCCTTTATTTGCGCATGTGTTATGATTCCTCGGGCAATAGGCCTACACACGCTCTGCGTCATGTGCTCGCATACTGGCCACTTCAGTGACCAGGCATGCCAGGAGTGGTCAGTCTTATCCTTCCTGGTCCAATGTCCAATTTTCTCAGTGTCATTATCAATAATCTTTATCTGCGATACATCGGCGATCACATTAATCATAGAGGGATGGCTTCGCGGGTTACGTAACCATGGTCGCCGTCAATGGAAGGAGTTTACTGCCTGAAGTAAAGCGGGCTTCTGCTCGGGAATGTCCCCCTTAGCCCGGTTTACCCATATGTACGATGCGTGATAGAATTTTCGCGATAAAGACTATTCCTGAAGTCTTGTTTCAGAAAATGCTAAATTTCCCATTGAATTGAAAAAGGTTCCCAACATTTCCTCTCGGTGTTCTTTTAAAGTCAAACACTTTCTCAACACCAGTACAGACCGGAGTTCTCCCCAACATTTCTTATCATGTTTGATCATGATTTTACATAAAAGTATCCGCTGATGTTGGTCGGTACAGAAACGTTTGACGGAGTTGCCCAACGTGCAACGTGTATGTTTTTAGGCCAAAGGTCACTGGGTGAGATGTCACCCAACCGCTTAATAACTTTGCCGCTTGGCACAGGAAGCATGTGGCGATTCAGATTACGCCGGGCCTGGGGGGGGGCAAATGCATAGCACGCATGATGGGTTGCTATTACCACTTTACTGCATAATTCTACACTGCTTTGAAATTTTAGATCGCGGAGAACATCGAAAGGAGACGAACACGTGCCATGATTTGTTCGAGCCAAAAAAAGAAAAGAAAAGAAAAGAAAAGAAAAGAAAAGAAAAGAAAAGAAAAGAAAAGAAAAGAAAAGAAAAGAAAAGAAAAGAAAAGAAAAGAAAAGAAAAGAAAAGAAAATCATTAGAGAAGAATGAGGAATTAGAGAAGAATGAAGAATGAAAAGAAAAGAAAAGAAAAGAAAAGAAAATCATTAGAGAAGAATGAGGTATACATATTTTGGGGTTTTTTTTGGGGGGGGGTTGGTCAGCCTGAGCTCGCGCCCCTACCCAGATCTCATGACCTGTCTTCCTTTCCCTTTAATCTTCTTCTGTCACCAAGGAGGTACCAAAGACTTTTCTTCTGAGGGTTTACCTCCGTTTTTTCGGGCTGACGATTTTCCATTACCATGGATTGTTGTGATTGACAAATTCCCCTTCCGCGGTGTCTTTACATACCCCTCCCCCTTCATCACCATTCCCGGTATCCCAATTCCAACCTTTTCTTCACTGTTTAGCTCATATGGCAGAGTGAGAGATTCAAATCTTTGACGTGAATCTCTCTAAAAATAATCAGGTCAGCTTCATTCAACTTTGCACAGAAGCCCATAAAGAAAGACCAGTGTGCGCTTCTGTACAGTGTATAGGCCTATGTACATGAATTTTTATGAGCATGGATGTTGTGGATGGGTGGGGCAAGAGGGACAAGAAAGGACCAAATCAATAAACGACAAAATTAGGCTCGACTAATAAGGGGAGACCTTCATGGGAAGGGATATCAAAAATCACCTGTTTGCTTAAAATAGCTCCGAAATAATCCTTCTGATGTTGATATTATGCGTGTCCCCCCCCCCCCGGAAAATCCTGGTGACGACCGTGTTGTTGGTGGGGACGAGATTAAAGCCTTCATAACACAAAAAAATGGAGGCACCCGCCTGCGATCGCGAAATGTCAAGTCGTTCAGAATGCAGAAATATGTAAGGTATCTCGGACAGTATCGGCAAAAAATCACTTGCCGATCTGTCCTTAAGTTAATTCTCGAGCTAGCAAGACGTCACTGATCAGAAGAGGGCGGGCTTCACTTAGCAAGATGGCGATATCCATGTGATCAGCGAGTTCGATTTGTCAATCAGCTGTGTCAGCGGGCGTGAATGTGTTGATCTGTTGATCAAAACTGTGAATTTTTACAGGGTTATGACGAGGGTGAGTACGAACTAAGGAAGCACGTGGAAAAGCTCCACTTGTCATCATCCCAGTGGGCATTTGAAATGGGCACAACGGAAACCATGAACGATGAATCATAATCATAATGAGCAACGCGTGTCTTTGGCTGTCCGAGGCACAGGGCCTACAATCCTGGACAAATCTCGTTGGAACATGCCTCCCCCCTCGTCCCCTGTCAGTGTTGCCTCTCATTGGGTAGGTTAGGCCGAATCTTGGTCCATTAAATGACGGCAACTTTGAATGGGGGAGAGGGGGATCTTTTCACCGCGCTTCCCCCAAGGTGTTCCAACTATTTTGTCCAGGATTGTAGGCTAGGTAGGGTCCTCTGCATTAATTTTTTGGAACATCTCTACAGACTGACGTTAGACGTGATCAATCATTTCCAAGTGATTCACTGTGCCTTTTTAAAGGCCCGTAAAGTGTGTGAAGCCCCATCATGATAGGCCTTGGCCTAAAATTTAAATGTTGTTGTGATACTCAACTGAACTAGATCTCCTACTCCTAGGCCTACCTACGTGTACATGAATGCACCTCGGTATCTAGGACTACAAATCTGGAAAAAAAAAAACATGTAGGGCCGAGGCCCTATTCCATGGTAAAATATCAATGCACATGATGATGATGTAGGCCTAAGCATATGGAACCAGCATGACCTGAGGCTGAGGAAGATTTGTCACTGTATCTAATGTAACACTTCTCGTGTTTCTAAGAGTAAGACTCCAGAGACACTCACTGGTGGGGAGGTTCAAAAATTTGGGGACTCATTTTTTTTGGTTTTCTTCTTGAAGTGATCTTGGTGAGGATGTCGTAAGCCTCATGGCTAATACCACATCAGTGATTTTGCACAGTGGTAGAAAGGCATTGTGGGAAGGAAAAGGGGGCAACGTTTGCTCCTTTTTCCATCCCACAATGCCTCTCTACCATTGCACAAAATCACCCATGGATGCTGTATTAGCAATAAGGCTTATAAGAAACATTTTCAAAATCCAAAATTAAAAAGAAACATTTTGACACAAGCAAAGAAAAAGTGATTTGAAGCAAGGATATTTCTTTGAACACAAAAATGAGTGCGGATTTTGACAATAAGCTTAAAATTCACATTTCCATAAAATGTTTGGTCATATTTGTGCCTTGTTTCAATGAATGAAATGTTGGCTTTGCTTGATATTTCAAAAATTTTGAAATTGGAAATAAAATAGAGGAGCTAGAGCCTGCGGAAAACACAAATTTTAATCACATTTTCCTATAGAGGGCCTGCACGGAGCACCCTCCCAGAGGACATGTTTGTTATTTAGATTCAGTGACAATGAATGCACAATAGGTTTACTTGAGCCTATCCTAGAGGAAGAAAGAAATGCCCTCTAACATGACTGTATGCGTAGGCCCTCTGTTGAGGAAAATGAGTTCCAACTTCCAAATAAGCAGCGCCCCCACTCATTTATGTGTATCCCTATCACTGGGTACATGTACTGTGCTTGTAGGTCTATGTAATGCTGGCACAACAGAATAAAAGGACTGTGAACAGGTCAAATCATCACTGCCTTACATTACATTACCAAAATTACAATTTTTGCCTTCTTTCTTTCAGAAAAAATGAAGGGTCATTTCGGGAAGGACATTGCTAAAAAAAAAAGTGACATTCTCATTGATTTTGCCAGTTGAAGACATACATTCATGTTTTTGTGCAACTTTCTTCTCTTAAATGTGAGAAAACTGTCTGACATCTTCGTTGCTTTAATACTTAATAGTATACATGTGATGTTAAAAATTTTATCACTGATTCTTTTATTCGTTTCCTGGCAAATGATGGTACTGTTGCTGTGGTACAGTATGTCATGGCAAGACACTGTTGCTTTGGGGGGGGCATTTTCTGTTCAATTGTGAATGCACAAAGGCACCCAAATTCCCTTAAAAGTGGCACAATAACGTTGAAAATCAGGTTGAATGGCACACAACCACTGCTGTATCCAAGCTATGACATGTTTGAGGATCAACCAACTTTTTTTCAAGTGGATGATAAATTCCTATCTCTTTAACCCTAACCCTCCTGAATCCTTCACCTGTTGCAGGACTGAGGAGTGTTAGGGTTAAGGTAGCCTTGAGCGTTAATGACCACCTTCTGTTGCTGAATCTGATCACAACTTTTTATGCCCTTTTTGTCCCGTTTTCTTGTTCATTCACAGACATACCTTATAGCTTTGGATATTTCTGGATAGCATAGAGGGCCACCATGCGTAACCTGGAGCTGTTGCTCTCCTCCCAGATTGATGGGCTACCAGACTTGGAAGGGTGCCACGGCCTGAGTATCGACTGTGACATGGGGCGGGTTTACCTGGCTACAGGAGGGTCAAAGGTCGTATGCCTGGATCCCCAGTCACAAGAGGTACACACCAGCAAAAAGTTTAGCTTAACCACTGTTTGGCCACTGTCTTCGTATGTGTGCAGTGCACAGGGCCAGGTAAAGTGTTCCGTAAGCCCTTGGCACCCGTGCATCATAGGCCCTGGGCACCAGTGTTCTCTAGGCCCTAGGCACAAGATCTATGTATGCCCTGGACACCATTGCTCTAATTTCCAGAGGCCTGACTTACAAATATGCAGTAGGCACCTGTGTTCCATAGGCCCTAGGCACCAGTGTTCAGAAGGCCCTAGGCACCTGTGTTCCATAGGCCCTAGGCACCTGTGTTCAGAAGGCCCTAGGCACCTGTGTTTAAAAGGCCCTAGGCACCAGTGTTCATAAGGTCCTACATGTAGGCATCAGTATTCCATAGACCCTAGGCACCAGTGTTCAAAAGGCCCAAGGTGCCAGTGTCCCATAGTCCCTTCTTTGCACCAAGGCACCGAAACCAGTACTAGTTGTACAGTGCTGGAGTCACGCATTTCACATGGACAGTTGTAAAATTCCATCCTCATTTCTTGCTTCCTTTTTTTTTTTTGAGTGATTTGCCAGTTGTTGCAATCTCTCACAGAGACTTCGATATTTATATGTCACTGGTTTTTCTTCGCACTAAACTGTTTTTCTTTTACCTTTTTTGTGCAGATTCTTTGGACCCTGTCCTTGGTTGAACAAGGCTATGCCCCACCCGGCGAGGACAGTGTTATTACCGCCATACAACATTTGCCCGACCAACAGTCAGTCTGCGTGGCCACAGGCGAAGGAGACGTTCTTCTCTACAACACAATCTCCCGTGAGGTATTCAGACAATGACGGATTATGTGCCGCGCATGTAGAAACCCTTTCACCCTGACGCCCTTCGCGTTTTTGCTTGGCACCGTCCTCAATCCTTCAAAATCCTCCGATTATCCATGCAAAAAAATTACATGCAGCGCCCACTGCCTCAATTCTTCAAAATCCTGCGGCGATTCCTGTCATAACGTTGATGCACCGTGCGAATGGTATCCTGCCGCAGTATGGAGGATTTCACATATCATGAACCCATTAATCTATGCACGGCTGAGCATAAACAGAACAAGATCTACCCCACAGGCTTGACACAGTGCATCGTTCGCAATTAGCTGCACATATGTTGTCATTCTCCCTCAATCCTCCAAAACCACCAGGAAGATTTTGAAGGATGGAAAAGGGTTAGGGTCAAGCAAAAATGCTCTCTTTGAGAAGTGTCCACCAAAACAGGCTATTAGCTGTCCGCTGCATGCGGGAACAAACTAGGGAAGGACAAAATCTAGTTATAGCCAGCTTTGCTCAGTGTTTTTGCTGTGGATGAACCCATTCAGCCTCTCCCTCCAAAAAATTGCAGGGCCCCCAGATGCCCACCTGCAAAACTCACCCCAGTTATGTGCCACTTGTGTCCACCAATCAGGCGGCAGGAATTTAGGCATTGGTTGAAACTGTAATTCACGTATTTTTGTTTTTTTCTCTGGCAGCTGGAATGTGTTGGAAGCGTGGACAGCGGTTTGACCAGCATGACGTGGAGTCCGGACCAAGAGTTGCTCGTTCTCTCCACAGGTGGGCAATAGACATTGTTCACTTTGGTACTTTTCCATTGAGTTTTGAGTTCTTGCTTATGATCGCGTCGTGTAGAGCTCGGGAGGTGCAGTTGCCTGGCCAATTTGCTAAAGTGCTGTAAGGCATCCGCAAGCCAAGGGTTCCGTGAGGGGGGGGTCGGTAGATAGGGCTGCCACCTACAGTAAGATATGCTGAAGTGACTGTTCAGACAGACCCGCACTCACAGGTGAGTGCGGGTCTGGGTCTCAATGTGAGAACAACTCACATTGTTACTGAGGAGTCATCTCATAATTCATCCAGGACAAGTTGCAGACAAGTTGCGGACATTGTTTAGGGTTAAGTTGCGCGATTCTTATCCATCTTGTCTGCAATCTCCTCGCAATGGAGCAATTACTTTGTTTACATAACATCCCCCTTCTGGGGTTTTGAGCAAGGCTTGGCACTCAAAGTCACACTGTGTGTCCCCTACACTAGAAGTAAACATTGTAACAGCACAACTTATATGGAGCCACCTGTTGGTGTGCTGAGGCCAAATATAAACAGCCATGTACTCGTCTGGGACAAATGCAGGGCTTCTTGTGGGTGAAGTCAATGTTATCACCCACAACTTATCCGCAACTTGTCCCGGACGAGTTTGAGATGGTCCATAAGCTGCTCTGCCATCAGCCCGCACCACTTCTGATTGGATTGAAGTTTCAGCGAGCTAGCTCTCGGCAGGTCACTGCGAACAACTTTCTTTGAAGGCTGTGTTAAGTTCGGCTTTGCGCTGTTTATACATATCCGTCGACGAGAACATATCATCTGCGTCCATACAAGATGTTGACACAGTCCATGAAAGCCGCATTACAGTATTTGGTGTTTAAGTGTTTGGCAGGCCCTTAACACCTGCACTCTGTAGGCTCTACTTCGCCATGCCTGATGAGTTGCATTTCTGTCCGACATTGTTTCTGTATATGTGCATTGTTTATCAGTATTGGAGTTTGCGTTTCGTGGTTCACCTTCAGCATGTTTGTAGGCCATCAGACATTTTGTTGGCCCTTAAATTTTTATAGCTCCCTGTCACGGGGCCTCTATTACATTGTCTCACTGAATGATTACTTAACATTGGGTAATTCCAGAAATTAGGGGCCCAAAAGTGTGAGGTTTTTGTGTCCCTGTTACAACCGGCCTTTGTTATTTGACATGGAAATATCACCAGAATTGATTTCAAACTATTACAATTTTTTGACAGGTAATTTGCATTATTAAATTCATCACTCTTGGAAATTAGAAAAATGTGTTCGGAAGTTACAAATCATATCTCAGATGTGACAGGGACACAGGAAAAAATATGGATCCCTAATTTCTGGAATTACCCATGTTTTACAGTGGTGCATAACATCAGTGTAGTGCTATGTTCCCATTCGAATGAATTTTTTTGCAAAAGCAGGGCTTGTATGACATTTTGTCTGTGAGGCAGCATGGGTAAACAGGCCAGTTTAAGCAATCAGAAATGGAGGGCATGCTAAATATTAGACCGTTAACATTTCAAATCATGGAAATGTAGTCAAAATAGCTGAACCAAGATACTAAGGTTACACATTGAAAATAAACATAAGTTGCCATGATTGATTGTTTAAGTTTAGCTTTTCTTCAGGTTAATGCCTTTTGTATGGGTGATCCTAAACTTTTGCAAATGACTGTATTTTTGCTGGTGTTTCACCTTGTTTGACCTTGCTGTGTTCATCTCAGGAGCAGCCACTCTGCTCTTGATGACCAAGGATTTCATCCCAGTCACCGAGACCACAATGCACCCTCGTGAATTTGGACAGCGTAAGTGCACTGTCATTCTAAAGATATTGGTTCCTGTGTGCGATCTGCTTTCACACTAAATCGCCGTACAGAGGAAGGCACATAGATAATCTACAGTGTTCGGTAACAGTTTTGGAGGGGAACGGGGCAATACGTTTGGTTGATTTCTGTGCACAGTAGCAGTTGATGAGCACTCTTGCTGCATGCTTTGTGGATTCCCATTTCTTGTGCACATACACTAATGGTCTTGAGTTGTCTGTGGAAACCAAATCTGGCTATCAGTGTACATAGGCAAAGCTGATGGTTAAAGCGTCGGGCATGCCTCGACTCGCCTGCGGCTGATATCGGAACCCGTCAGTCCCTTTTATATTGTCCACACACGCAGAGTCCAAGTAGTCTCTGGTAGTGGACGGTGCATTGACCTTGAACATTGTTGCCGCGTAATGTTTTCGCTTTTAACCACCTGCTGCCGAGGAGCCCGGCTTCGGAGACGTTGGCTTTATATGCACAGACGGAGCTGCCTGGAAGTGGACAATGGAAACTGGGCCCTGTAACAAAAGACTGTAATCGGAACAAAAGACAGAGCTGCTGGGAATTTCCAACATTTTTTCAGTTGTCAGATTAGACCGCTGTTTGCAGCATTCAGTTCGAGCGGATTACCACCTGGGACAAAAGCACTCCAGCGCTTCAGTGATGAGTGATACAGTACCGCTGCACGCTAATCTGGCCCCTATTGAAAAGATGTCAGCAGCACACTGTGCCACTTTCAGGAACAAAAGAAAATTACATAACACCGTATAATCTGGCTCTTTTTACTAGGTGGCCTGGCTGAAGTACTCGGGTGTCAATAGATGTTGTTTCTCAGTCTAGAGTAGCCACCAGATATTCATTTGCGTGGGTGTAAACGTCCAGGAAATGAAGTTATGAACTTTTAAAGAATTTTGAAAACAGAAAAAAATGAACAATCACCCAGCCCAGCAGACTTAACATGGATAAATGGGCCCGGCAAGAAGTGGTTACTGGCATACCCCGTGGTGTTCAAAGACACCAAGATTGCGGCAAGAAACACCCTAAATATACTGCTCAATACGGGCGATTCGCAATAGTGGGCCACCAAGAGTCTGCAACGCGTTGGCCAATCACAATGCACGAAATTCGTCGACCCTTCGGAACGGGCATTGGGTCGACAGATTTGGCACCAGGTGATTGGCCAACGCGTTGCAAACTCTTGGTGGCACACTTTTGTAAATCGCCCGTATTGACTCTTGTGGATCAGCAGTTGTGATGTTTGGCTGTATAAACTAAAGTTAGTTGCCTTTTCCGAAAATTCACATTTTCAGTCGAAATTACGCCACAGATAAGTAGTTGAGGGGGACTATTATTTTGATTGTCTTTGCCTTTCCACCATCAGATGAACCGATCACTGTGGGTTGGGGGAAGAAAGAAACACAGTTCCATGGGACAGCAGGCAAGCAGGCAGCTGTTAGGACCGTCCAGGAAGTCAAACCTGCCCTGGCTTGGGATGACATGAAAGTGCGCATCAGTTGGCGCGGCGACGGACAGTTCTTTGCCGTCAGTGCTGTCAGTCCGGACACAGGTACACCCGTAGGAAATGCAGAAATGGAAATTTTCAGTCAAATGTGTTTAAAGGGTCTGCGCAATAATACAGTGCTTATACCAGAACCCTTGAAAAGGCATCTTTGTGTTTCAGTTCAACTTATTTTCAATTTTTAAAGGTGCATTTGTGTCTTTTTTCGTTTTTACACTGACCCAAATGTTTATATCTATCACCAACACTGATATCATTCCACGACCTATAAACCTTTGATGATGACAAACCTAAAACGAGAAAAGCATCTACCACATAACACATTTTAGTTTGTTTGCACAGAGTTTGGATTCTTGACGTGTCGGTTTAGATTCTGCTCAAGTTTTTAGAAGAAACACAGACATGCCAATAGCTGCACTAAAGCCGTGCTAAATTTCCAGATTTGTACAGGTTTGAGTGCAAGTGTGGAGCATGCTCAGTAGGCTTCATTTCACACAGCAAGTTAGCACTGTGGTCATTTCATGTAGGTAAAGCTGTGATTACAGCCCTGTCAAATTCTTTAACGATGTAGGAGTTCGCAAGCTCAGGGTATGGAGTCGAGACTGCATCTTGCAGTACACCAGCGAAGACCTGAACGGCCTGGAGCAGCCACTATCTTGGAAGTGAGTGTGAAACATTTGATTTGATCGATCGAGTGATGTTGGTGATATCAGATATTCTGACACAGGTCCATCAATGAACCAAGTGTTGCGTGGTTCATTTGGCTAAATTTTGATTGTCTGTATTGGCAAATCTGTGACATAACTTCGGGTGGGGGATACCCCCAGCAGAGGTCTGCACTACAAGGTAAAGCCTTTTGCAACCTGTGAACTGTACATGTGCTCAGCATATGTATCAGCTACAGTTAACTTGGGTCTCATGTCCGCCGGAAAAATTTGTGCACCCAGGCGTCTCCACCCACGCACCGAAATTTCAGTGCAGTGACGCCACTGTTGCATATGGAAATATAATGAGGATTTATTCACTGCAACAGATTTTCAACTGATTTCTCAGTTTAGGGTTTATAATAGAGTGATCCCCTTTAATTTGACTTATGCTTTTCATCTGTCGAAATTATCGCTTCCATGTTGTGACTTAACAACTAGTGTTACCAGGATCACGATGGATAGACAGTGAAGTTATTATAAGAAAATCAGCATGTCGTCTTAAAGATCCTTCCGTTCTTCTAAGCCTGATTCTATTTCCTCCATGCCGTGCAGACCATCTGGAAGCCTGATAGCGTCAAGTCAAAGACTCGAGAGTCGTCACGACATCATCTTCTTTGAGAAGAATGGCCTCAGACATGGCGAATTTACTCTGCCGTTTGACCCCTCGGCCGTTAAGGTGCGCTGAGATGTCTTTTTGCATTTTAGAGATGTTGACTTTGTTTTGGGTATTTTGCCCTTCAGTGACACACATTTATAAACTCTGCATACTTGGCGTTGTCCGAAGGCTTGTAAAAAAAGGCATAAGCTCGCTCGGATTGGACTTTAACCCACAATCTCCTCCTTGCTAGTGCAGATGTCTTAATATCACTCGATCAGAGCTGTGTATTTAGAGAGTTGCGACATGAGTGTCCCAATTGCTGGAACCAAAATGGTGGATTCTGCGTCAGCGCACATGGACATTTAGCACACAACAGGTCCTTGCTGTACTGCACACATCATGCAGATCCATTTTGGTGCCAAAGTCTGAAGCTGGTACTAATCTCTGTGTATACAGCTCTGTGCTCGATCACCGAACTTGCCTGGGTCTGCTGGCTGGTTTGATTCAGATGAACTTCAGTTCCTGGTACCCCAGAAGGAAATCCGTATGCAGTAATAACAGACTTTTCAAGTCAAAAACGTTTTCTACTGTTGCCCTCCAGAATGCCCCCCTCCCCCTTCCGTGCCTAAACTTTTGAATTGTTTGTGTTTTTTCTCTACAGGTCTGTGAGATTCTGTGGAACACGGAGTCCACCGTCATGGCTGTGTGGCTCGAGGACCTTGTGACCGGTGACAGGGAATCGGGCCAAGCTCCACGCTCATACGGTATGGTGTAAATATTTTGAGAGTGCAACAGTGTTCAACAGATATAAAGCCCATGGAATTGAATAGGCAAAACAAGTGGCAAATTACACTGTGTACAAGCGTAGTACCAAGGCTAGTGTATACTCTGTACTCTAGCTATTATGTAATGCAATCCAATGTTGCAAGTTCTGTTGCATTTTTGTTGCATTCAGCAGGGAGAATGTTTTAAGTTAAACTAAGGTTAGACCGTCATTGAGTATTTCCCACCAGTGGAAATGTATAGTATAACCCCAGCCGAATGACCCTAGAATTTAACCATAGATGTTATCCACGTGGACACCATTTTGATCATATTCCCCAAATCTGTTAGGTAAATTGTGAACTGTTGATTAGGATGGCACCAGACTATTCTGTGATTGATGTGCATTCCAAGCCTCACTTTCAATATTTTGCATAAATCTCACAACACTAAGGCATGCTAAATTACACATTTGCAATCATTCAGTAGAGTGGACAGGTACTGATTTGTCATGAATTGTATGTTGTTTCTTGCATTTCTACTCTCAGCTTTCAAAAAAATGAAGAGTTACGGTAGCTTCGCTTTCAATTTCAATATGGCCAACCGATGAATAAAGTGTATCGCATACGGGCTCATTAACTATTACATAAAATCTTGCCAGTGGGTCAATAGCAAGTCTATTGTGTGCTTGCCTTTTTCCTCTTGTTCAACAGTCCAGCTATGGACAGTAGGGAATTATCACTGGTACCTCAAGCAGAGTCTTGACTTTGCGGTGAGAGAAGGTAACCGGATGGCGGCCGTGCAGTGGGACCCGGAGCACGCGCACCGTCTGCACGTCGTGATGCAGTCAGGAAGGTACCTGCAGTATACGTGGCGCTGGGCAACCAACCACAGCCGGGGTACTGACTGCAGCGATGGCGCATGCGTTGCCGTGATCGACGGAGGTTAGTGTCGAAAATGCATCACTGGAGGGTCGTGTCATGCCGGAACTGTACAGTTTTATTGCATTTACTAGGGAAAGAGCTCATTAAACGTTACGCACAAGCTTATGGAGAACTCGAAATTTGGTGTGGCTCTAGTGTGGGTATTTGAATATCTGCGTCTTTGTTCTGAATAATGTGTCATCAAAGCAGTTTGCCAAAAACTGAAATGCGCAGTCAGTACTAATGCTTTGTTTTGCTCTATGTAAGCAACATAAATGCATTGCTGAGACTTTTCAAAGCGTCATACAAGATGTGCTATAGATGTATGTTGTGCTCGTGCACTGCACTTTGAGCATGCTCTCACAGTACTTTCTATCACATTCTATATTATGCAGATACAAACACACGCACGAATTCAAAATATCCTCGCTAAGGATGGCGTCAAAGAACGGTGGATGTAACACATTTAAACGAGAGAAGTTCCAAATTTGTTTACAGATTTTCCCAAACGTTTAAACGGAAGCGCCCCTTTTAAAGGTTTGGCATTTTGATTGACGCAGTCTAGCGTTCATTTCTATTGTAAGCGATGCCTGTCAAATGTAAGCTGATTTTCGGAACACTTTTCTGCTCAGTCGTATCAAAGGAATACCATGAATTCATCACCGAAACTTTGTGGCAACTATTTGCATTGGATGCAATCTGTTGTGCTTAGAGTTGTCAATGACACCGTGGTAAGGGTGAGACGTTTAAACGTTTAATTGGTATGGGAAAGTTTTCGAAACATTTTGTAACCCACACTTAGCGTCAAACTTTCTTTGCTCTGGAGAACAAGAACTTAAGCACCCTAGTAATTTGATATCTGTCTATGTCAAGAAATTTCAGGAATTTTCTGAAAAACCCGTATCTACTAGTATATCTTGGAAAGACTTTCACAGGCCTCCCATTGCTTTGTGGTTTGTGATGCACAGAGGTAGAAACTTTATATATGAACCTTTAGAATAAGATGATCTGATGATTTTTTTTACTGATAGATAAAATCTTGATGACACCATTCAGAGCAATGGTGGTTCCCCCGCCAATGTCCGCCTACTCCATACACCTACCGAAGCCTGTCAGTCAAGTGTGCTTTGCTCCACCTCCTAACAGCAACCGCATGGCTGCCCTGTTGAATGATGGAAGAGTTGCCATTTATATCAAACCAGGTAAGGCTGACTTTATCAGTCTAGCACCCTATGTTGTATTGAAATGAAAGAGCGTTAGTATGTTCAGCTTGAACAACAGTGTTGGAATTGGATGACACTGTGGCACGACTCACATGCATTTTGGTTTGTATATTATTTTGGCGTTTTCGTGCAGAAGAGAACCAACCATCTAGCATTGATGCTAGTGTTCAGTTAGTCGCAGCGGGGGGTAACGGCTTCCGAGCAATGACGACCCCACTGACTCTGAGAGCGCTTCTTTGGTAAGGGACTTGCCGGATTTGGCCTCTCTGACTGGCCTTGTCGCATACTTTCTGACCTAAACTGACCCAAACAACATGAGTTGGTACGGCAGTTGCCTGACTTACTGGCTTTTGCAAGGATCTGATCAATAAGAGCTTTTGTCACTTTTCACCTGCATGATGTCCACCGAACTGAGCAGTACATCGAAAGTGAGAGCTCAGTTTGCTCTTGCCAGTGCTTACTGAAATAGAATTACTGAAACTGAAGGTCCATTTTGTCGAATCAGCTAACATCTGCGGTAGGATTGACATTGATTTGAATATGTGACGACAGCCTGGAATTTTGACTGGCATCTCTTTGATCGAGGACCAAGTAGAAATGAACACTAGAACAATATTTTGATCTAATCATGAGTCTCTTCAGAGCCAGTTATGTTGCGTAAAATCATGATTCCACCTTAGACGGAGCACGAGAATGTACAAACGATAAACATGCAACATAAGTACTCAAGCTTGATATTTACTGGAGTCATGAATTGAGTGCACACCATTTTTTGTCAATAAGGTGCCATTTTGTTTGCGTGTATGTCTTTTTGCTCACTTGTCTTGTGCTTTCTAGCATTGATGACGAGTCTGGTAGCCCCTTAGTGCCGACCTATCCCTCACAGTATCATCATCTACAGTGGGTCAGCAACCAGACGTTTCTTGTCGTCTCGTCAGACCCCGGTGGCGTTGGAAGCACACTGCATCGGATAAGTCTCTCCGAGGACGATTCTGAGACCACAAAGCTGTGTGTCGAGTACGCATAAGAACAAATTGAGCTTTTGGTGAAATGGTAGCACAAGTCAGTATCAGCACGCTGTGGCCAGCGGCATGTGTTTGCGACCGTGACAAGAAGCATGTTTCTGCTGTGGACATTGGTTGTGCATTGTCACCACATCGCTGTGTGAGATCACTGTTCCGACTGAACCATGATCGAAGATTTGAGTTCGGTTCATCGGCCGTTCAAAATGGTAGAACACAACCACTGTTTAGGCCATCTCATGAAGTAATGAATTATTTTTACGCTCATCTGTTGTAACATGGAGCAAATCCAACTTTGGTGAAAAACAGGGAGTAGCAGTGGTAATTAAGACACGTGTTGAATATTGAGTGAAAACGATGCTTGCCAATGCTGACGTCTGCTGCCTAGTACTTTGAGTTGAATGACAAAACCATTACTAGCTGCATGCTTTTTGGTGGAACCTGAAGCATGTTGCTAGCAATCGCTCTGACGTCACAAACATGTTCCTAGTCGTGGGTCGTGAAAACATGCCCATGCTGACCCTAACAGTCAAATACCTGTATTTTGGTTGTAAATGTTGAGGTCAATTTTGCCCATTCCAAGTTGAATCGATTGGTCTTGTGTTCATGCTGCCATTTTTGAGATGACCTCAAAATTGTGGCCACCAAATCTCAACCCTGCTTCACAGAGAGTTGATATACACAGAGAGGTCATATCAATGTGGCAATTAACGTCTGTATGCTTTCCCCTTTAACCCAGATCTCAGAGCACCATCTTTGGCCAGGTTTACAGAGTCTGCGTCAACCCTCTGACCCAGACGGTGGCCGTACAGCTAGTGGATGGCAGTGTGATCACTCCGGACAATGAGCCCATGGTCAGACTACCCCAGCCGTGCGCTCACATGGCGCTGTGCTGCATGGGCGGACAGGTGTGAATTTCACTAGCCCTTAACTTGTTGACTGCCAATGTGTACAGGACGCCCTCTTTGCTGTCAGAGTGACTGCCCATGCAAAAAATGAATGGAATGGATTGTTGTTGAGAGTAGAGGTATAAATAGAAGGCAACAGTAATCTGCTGAAGTGTATGTAAACGTTTGCTCAGCACTGTATATCAGTCGTGCCCCAACCGTCTCGTGTGACCACATAAGAAAAGTGAGAAACTAACGTGCAGATTGAGCGATGACTACAATTATTAACTGTCGTTTGATGAACGTCGCTCAAACAGTAGATGGTTTGGACCGTCTAAGTTGACCATTTGGAACCAGGCCCTGGAGCATAGTCAAACTGCCGGTTATTGATCGCAGATTTTTATTTATCAGTATGGAGAAAACCATTCATATTAAAATATTTGTGTGAGATGTCATTGACCATGTACACCACGACAGTTGTTGCCAACAGCATATTGTGAGCAAGAACAACTCGGGACATTAGAGTTTTAATCAGATTGGGCGTTTTAAAAAGCAATGGACTTGTGAGCCAACCATCGTGTGCACCCAGATTTGCCCTGGAAGGCTCTAATTTGAAATCTTTTTCTCCCTGTAGGAAATTGTGCTAGGGTTGACGGAGAGGTATCGCTTCTACGTCAACCAGACAGAGTTTGCCTCCAACTGCACCTCGTTTGCCGTGCAGGACGAGTACCTCCTGCTGACGACACACAGCCACACTCTCCGCTGCATCAGCCTCAAGTCCGACGCCAAAGGTGGGAAAATTCTTTGCAGTTGAATCCGATGACCACGGTATCGCTGTTGCTTGTCATTTGCCACGGCCTCAAGTCAGTGGCGGTAAGCTCTATGATAACTATTGCATGGATCCACTGTTCCACAACAGTTTTTCAGAACAAACCTCGATGCAGTGCTTTTTTTGCCATCAATGGGTGCCACCAGAGATGGCCATTGAAATGTTGCTGGATTTGTCAATGCAGCGCAAAAGACTCCCAACTTTATGATATCAGAAAGAACTTCAAGGGGAGTCAGGTGAGGGTAGTGGAGATTGCCGTTACATTTTCTTTGGCCATTTTGTCTGGCCAAATCTGCTTTTGGTTGGAAAAACACCAAAAGTGGCTGGAAAATGTCTGATGTTGTGAGCAAAATTGTACCTTTTTCGCTCCATATTTTGACTGGGTTTCTAGTACCCCTGGATGTCGACTACGGTATTATGAGTCCAGGTCCTTCGTCTGTCAACCCTCTCCCCTAACTATCCTTCCAGACCTGGTCACCGCAGTTACCACGTCCGTAGACGAAAGCATCCGGCGCATTGAGAGAGGCTCGCGCATCGTCACGGTCATCCCCGGTGACACCAAGGTTATCCTGCAGATGCCGCGGGGCAATCTGGAGACAATCCACCCGAGGGCTCTGGTGCTGTCCGCCATCAAGAAACTCTTAGACAGCCTGAAGTACCAGGAGGCCTTCTTGGTCATGAAGAGGCACCGCATCAACTGGAACTTATTTTACGACCACAACCCAAAGGTAGTGCATTATTTTAATTTGTCAACAAGACTTAGCTTCCTAAACTAAAAGCACTCCTACTTACTGCCTGATTGGGCCATGCTGAATGAAAATGTGAAGGAAACATTGAATAGACGAGTGAAATCATGTAATTCCGATATTAACTTGAATGTCTTGATGCACAGGCAAGCTGACAATTGTTACATGAGTTCACAAGTTGTGCCGGGAGGTTTTACAGGCCATATTCGAGGCAACAAAAAACCGTTATAAGTGACCAGAAACAAGCATCTAAGGTGTCCTTGAATAAGTTGTCAGTGCTACTTCATGGTAAAACTGTACCGATGAGCCAGCCCGGTATTTTGCCCCCCCCCAAAAAAAGTCATTCAGGAGCGAACCACAGCTATGAGTAGGGCTGCACTGATAGGGAAGACCTCGCTCACACGTCCGAAAGACTTCCGACGCACTACATTTTGGGCATGTGCTGAAGGAACCCCCAAACTGGCTCACATTTGCCTTGGTGGGTTTCCTTTTTCATCGTAAGACCTTGTACTCAAACACTTCAAGATATTCTTGTTGAGATGTTTTATCCACAGAGGTGATCGTGTCAGAGATGTGTCTTCTTGTTTTTCATTTTGCACATACAGGCTTTCCTCAGTAACATTGACCTGTTTGTCAGGCAGCTTGACTCTGTCACCAGCCTGAACCTTTTCCTGGCTGATCTCAAGGAGGAAGACACCACGCAGACGTTGTATTCGGCCGCATACCAGCGGAGATCCGAGGCGGCCGGAACGGCCAGGGGGAACAAAGTGGACACAGTGTGCGATGCAGTGAGAGAGAGTTTGGATAAAATCAACCCGCAAAAGTATGGCTTTTGTTATGTTGCTTTTGACATGTTGCTTTTGTCATGTTGCTTTGGACATGTTGCTGTTGGCATGTTGCTTTTGACATGTTGCTTTTGTCATGTTGCTTTTGACATGTTGCTTTTGTCATGTTGCTTTTGACATGTTGACATGTTGCTTTTGACATGTTGCTGTTGGCATGTTGCTGTTGGCATGTTGCTTTTGACATGTTGCTGTTGGCATGTTGCTTTTGACCTTTATTTGCCTTAAAGTTCAAGCTGATTTAAAAAGTTGACATTTCATGCATATGTATGATCTGAATTCCCACTAGTCTGTCCATCATCATGTGTCACTCACCGTACATAGAATCATGATAGATGAAGACTCAACTTTGTTTGAAAAGTCACATTAAAACTCAAAAGATGTATTTTTACTTAGCTGTCAATTTTCAAAAAGATCAGTCTAGGGACAGCCGAGATCTTTGGGAGTGGGTTCCCTTCCTTGTACTAGTTGAAGTGTCACAATCTTTCTCCCCATCGTAGATTCTTCCTGTCGGTGCTGACAGCCCACGTCAAGAAGACCAGACCGGAACTGGAGGTCGCCTTGCAGAGGATCCAGGAGCTATCAAAAGGCACACCAACAGCAAGGGACGGCCAGATCCCGGGCTCAGGTAGCGATGATAGCCCCTCCACTGACGAGGCCCTGCGGTACCTGATCCTGCTGGTGGATGTCAACGAACTCTTCGACATGGCCTTGGGAACCTACGACTTCAAGCTGGTCCTGATGGTGGCGGAAAAGTCACAAAAGGTTTGTCACCACAAATCTGTAACCAAAACAACACTCTTATACAAAAAAGAAAGCAAGTTAAAGTTTTTTTTTGGGGGGGGGCAAACTTACTTCATCAGGATCCCAAGGAGTACCTCCCGTTCCTGAACCAGCTCCGTAAACTGGAGATCAACTACCAGTGCTACTCCATCGACAAGCACCTACGACGCTACAGCAAGGCGCTGCGGCACATCAGCGCCTGCCCCGGAGACGAACGCTTCGCCGAGTGCATGAGCCTGGTGACGGAGCATCAGCTGTACAGCGAGGCGATGCAGCTTTTCGAGCGGGGATCGGAGAGATATGAGGTGGGTGGGAGTGCTGTGCTGGCCCCTGTATCTTTCCATATCTGAAAGTCAAAATTTTTAGCCAAAAATGATACCATCCATGGTTATGGGAGGCGACTGGTACCAAAATTGACGGCCAGAATTGCACCACTTTTGCTTTTGCGTCCAGGCCGTCGGGACTGCATATGGCAACTACCTTCAGAGCGAACACCGCCATGCAGATGCAGCCCTAATCTTCACTCTCTGCTGCCAATGGGAGAAGGCCTTAGAGATGCACACAAAGTGTGGCCAATGGCGGCAGGCCTTCTGTATGGCGACTCGGTTGAATTACACACCAGACAAGCTGGCGGAAACAGCTAGAAAATTGGCAGGTAGAGAGCCCTCTTGAATGGCATCGATATAAAAATAATTAATCATACAGTTGGACACTTGCCCTTCCATTGTTGAGTTCTATTCATGATACTGACCCCTTTTCATGCACCAACTATGTGTGACAATTGACTAGTCAAACTGCTTGAAACATCAAAAGAGTAATTTGACCACTTTCCAAGTACTGTTGTGGAGGATTCTTTTCCAACTTAAGTTGTTAGAAAGTAGTTGATACTTGTGTTCCGTCTGATCATGGGAATAGTGGTCAAGCCCTTGCATGTCTTACTCAGGAACGGCCAGTTCCTTGTGGCAACACTGCGAATTCTCTAGAGGGAACTCCCAATGTTCTATAATCTCAATAGAATGTTCCAAATCTGAGACGATTCCTTAGCCAGCTTGGTGAAGTTCTGCCAAAGTTTGTCATGATGTGACCCATAGTGAGCTGTCAACATGAGTCAGATTTCACAAGAGCGACTTTTGATTTTCTAGGCTGTACTCGAAAGAATAAACAGAGTTCTTTGATTTGATGTGTCACTGAGTTTGTTGTCAAGGTGAAAATAGATATAATGCTAGCAGCAGATATTGAGGGCTCTTATTGTTAGGGATTCTTTTTAAAGATCTGCATCTCGAAAATACCAGTGAATTGTGACTTGCTTTCACGTAGTGGATCACCTGTGAGGTTTGTAAAATGTTTTGTGTTGTACAAATCCTCAGCATATCTGTCGGGACACAGAAGGCACTCGGAAGCAGCCAGTGTCCTGGTGGAGTACGCCGACGACATGGAGGAAGCGATCAGCACGCTCATCAGCGGATGCCAGTGGGCAGAGTCTCTAAGACTGGTGAGCGAAACAGCATCACCCAATCCCCTCTGGGTAAAGAGAGGGTGTGTTCTTAGAGAGCGACGATGGTCCTATTGTTGGAGCACTGGTTCACTCGCGCAACCAGTTTGAGTTTCTAATAAAAAAAGATGAGAAAACCCAAAGAAATGTTTGCCAAAGTATGCCTTTGAAATTGTGAGTATTCAGTTAGAGGTATGCCTTTTTGTTGCAGATGTACAAGTGCAAGAGAGAAGATATCATTGAAACCCATCTTAAGCCAGCACTTTTGGAGAGTAAGTGGCCAGTTCAGTAGATGGAATGATGTATAAGGACTTATGTGTGACTTTTTCTGAGTGATGTAAGCCCTTCGTTATCATTAAATCTGTTGTTAATTTCTCTGGCTAAGGGAGCATAACATTTTGGTAGGATGAGCTTCCTTCATGGAGGAGTTAAGCCTGGACAAACTTAATGGGAATCGTTCCAGCATGGAGGCGATAACAGATATCATCCACTAACTGCTTACAGAAATTTTTACATCATGTTTAAATGTCCTCTAGGCAACCAGTGCAGAGAAATCCTTGCTTATTTACATCATTGGGCATAAACTGGTCAATGTGAATTGGCGATTATTGCATTTGACGGTGGAGGGTTTGCCTTCTTCGCATATCAGGATGTAGCAGCACACAGGCAGCCCTGGAAAATTTCCTGGCAACTTTCGACAGGCACCAGAGACGCCTCGCCGTCGTGAGAGAGAACAAGCTGCGACAAGAGCAAGAGGAGGGCGCGGACTACGACAACGTGGACGCAGACCTGTACTCGGACACCAGCAGCGTCGGGGGTAGTGCCCTGGGATCTGTCTCCAGTTTTGGCTCCACCAGTAGCACGTACAGCACGGGCACAGCCAGCAGCAAAACCTCTGGGTATGCAGAAAGAATCTCTAATAATGAGCAAATTCTTCTCGGAATTAAACATTTTGGCAAGATCGATTTTCACAAGTCTTTCCTGAGGACATGTTTCCCTTATCTGTGCTGAAGTTAGATTTTCCTTGATAGTGCTATCTGCTCATTCTCCAACGATACAAAATCACAGCAGGAAGAATGCACACATTAGAGTTTCGTAAATTCATCCCCAGGTTTGCGAAGAACTTCTGCAGCACCTTTCAAGGCTAATTCACACTTGATGAGAATGTGAAGTGAGTTTGACATCATGAAAATATCACACCGAAATTCGCTGGCATCGAAATATGTTCAACTTATGCGAATTCGCAGTGCAAGTTTGTGATAAGACATCGCGAATTCATGTCGTCATTCACCCTGGCTGGATTTGAACAAATCCTGATGCAGTTTTTGAGTTTTTCTGCTTCTCACATTGTCCAGGCGGTCTAGGAAGAATCGGCGAAAAGCCGAACAGAAGAAGCGAAGTCTGAAGGAGGGAAGTAAGCACGAGGACCTAGCCTTGCTGGAGGCACTGATAGAAATCTTCAAGAATGTGGATCAACTCAAAGGTAACAAAATGTTGTCAGAACTTTAGTACAACTACGTTATGAAGCATATTCACTGGCTCAGAGGGTTTATAAATGTGCTCTTCACTACATGATGACAAACAAAATTAGGATGCAGATTACACAAACACCTGTTTAGAATACCAATTTGGATTTTTCTCTGCGACAGTTTCTCCTTGATTTTATCTTTGTCTTTAAAGGTGATGTTGGACAGCTTCTTCCGGTGTTGGTAATGTTTGATTTCAAGGAGGAAGCCCAGCAGCTTCAGCAAGCCATGCTAGATGCAATAAAGACCTTAGAGGCAGGCCGCACAGAAATATGGACAAGCAAAATCCCCCAGCCCTTGTCAGGGACAACTACGGTACGGAATTTGATGTACTTGAGTGCATGTACTCGTGATCATAGCGAGCAGCAAAACATCGGCAAATTTTAAGTGCCCATGATATTGTAAGACTAGTTTTGAAATTGTGCGTCCATCTTTTTTGGTGGCACTATTTAGTGAGCCTCCCTGTGCGGCATCCTACACAAGAGAATAGATTTTGTAAAAGGATATCTCAGTCCAAATTACAGGAGGGCTAACGGTTTGGATTCTGTGCAATATTTTTTACTTGTTTTCTATGTATAGGTAGTTGTGAGTGACATAAGACCGATCTGTGGGTGGAGCTAGCCCGCGTCGCTTTTGCCTCTCTTGCTACCACAAATATTTCATATCATGATATTTGATTGTGGGGGGGGTGTAATTAGATAATGCTATTAAAGTAAGTTTCTATTGTGTCTTTCTCTTCTGTACCGTACCTCGTAGGGGTTTGGCCCACAGTTCACCTCCAACACCATCGCCGCCTCCATGACTGGCCCGGGTTTCGCTGCCCCATCCTCCTTGACCTCCCCTGATGACATGGTCCTCTTCGTCCCCCCAAAGCTGAGCAAAGACGACAAGTGGCGACTGCACATGCTTGAGCCGAGGTGAAACAAAGCGCAGCACAGAAACAACTCCTTGGTGGCTTCTGTAAATCCACCTTTCAGCTAAGTGACACGTCAGCCTCCTTGGAAAAATAATTGGCATGAGAGTGTGTGCATGCATGGAAATAATCATTTACTTTCTAAAATGATGCCATCAGGATAGATAGCAAAATGGAAGCAGACTGTTATTTTGGGTTCCTTTGAGGAGGAAAACCATGGCATATGGAAATAAAAGAAGGTTCGGACGCCATTGTGCCACATGTAACATCTTCAACTCGTTAAGGCTTTCCCATTTGTTAGGCTTTCAAGGCAAGCGCAATGAACATCTTGATCCTTTAAAAATAGAGTAATGTACCTTTCCCCCAACCCCCCCCGGATTTACCTTGAACCAACATTTTTTCAATGGCATTATCAGCACACTGAAGGGATTAGTTGTCCATGAAATGGACCTGAGAAATGTCCTTTGTTCAGCCAACCGTGAAAATCTGACCACCTCCCTAACTGTTGTCAGCACGGGCACTGATAGGTGCTGAGACCTTTAACCTAATTATCTTTATGCCAGTGTTGTACGGTTAGAAATCCGTGAAAAATCCCCAGCAGGATTAGTCCTATAAGCTCTTGGTCATCATCCTTGAAACAGCGCTCGGAGATTAACATCAGGGCAAAATTAACGACAGTTCAAGGGATAAGATGTTGATAGCCAAAATGCTTCCACTGCCACCATTTTGTTTTTTCAAGTTCAATTTACACTGTTCACGAAACAAATATTTGAATTGGAATACTCGCACTGCGTATAGCAGGACAGAAGTCTGTGAACTACATGTACGCTGCAGAATATGGACTCGGCCTTTTTGCTATTTTGTCAGACTCACTTTCATCACACATTTCTGGCAATGACCCCAAGGATTCCTCAGATGCGCCCAGCCATTGTAGCTCGCTCGTCTGAAGAAACCTTTGGAAATTAGATAATGAGAAGCAGTTACAGTTTTAGAGGTGGGAGGAAAACCCCAGAGGAATATACAGGGTAAAACCCACAGAATCAGGTAGGGACTGGAAACCCAATCCTCATGTGGACTGAGTTGGGAATCGAACCCAGGCCACAGAGGTGAAACCTAAGGAAAGAACCGCTACGTGTACATGAACCTTAATAGCAGTGTACAGGCACGTCGTATACAGTGTAGACCTCTGCACAAAAGAAGTCCTCATAATGCAGGGTACGATGGCATTGTGTGGACTCGCACACGCCCACACAATGTTTTCTCCTCTCTGAAAAACAGTTTCAGAGGCATTTTGGGGTCAAGGTTATTATGGCAAAATGAAGAGGAACAGTCCAGGAAATCATCATCAAAAATCCAGCTCGGAGGAGTTATCCTAGTTTGAGAAAAAGGAGCATTTACCCTAACCACAGGAGAACCAAGAAATGTCCTGATCACTATGTAAAACAAGCGTGTGTGTGTTTTGGGGTGTGGGGTTACCAAGAGTAACTTGTCTCAATTAGAACACACAGACCTCTGTTTAAGAGAAATGTACAAGTAGTCATAATATACACAGTATGCTTTTTGCCAACTTGTAAATAAGAGCAGATGTGAGAAAGAATCTTTGTTACATAAATAGCCCAGTCAAAGCACACCAATTTAAAATCCCACGCGACAAGTGTCCACTAACTTATGTGTCACATGGTTTGACTTTCCACCTGCAATAACAAATCAGCTGTGTGTATTACTAGAAATATTAATATAGAATGAAAGTTCTGATTGTCGGCGTAGCTTCATGCTTGAGCCAGACATTTCAGGTCGTGGCCAGGTCGTGAGTGATGCAGCATAGTACATCAATTCACACCCATGTCTGTCGGATTGCAAAGGTGACCATGTCACCCCATGCCACTCCCCTTGTTAAAAACAAAAACCTGTGCAGTTGTTAAGGCCGACCCTTAGATTAGGTTTTCTGTGGTATTTTTTGGTTTTATCTTAGAACTGTACAAGTTCCCAGTACAACCAGTGTACAAAAATATGAGGCCCTTGCCTCAGAAAATGTAGTAAATTAAAGTAAATCAAATATTTTTCATTGTCTTAGCTTATTAAAAGGCTGCTTATTGTCCACTTGATGTCGGCACTAACTCTTTTTGCTGTCTTTTTCCTGGCTGTTAAGTTTTGAAGACTCAAAAAACATACTAAAACTTCCAAAGTCGGAAAACAAAACCACTCGTCCATCGAAGTACTCAAAACTAAGCTGAAGAATGTGTAGGCTTTTATGGTGAAACAATGTCAATATAAGCACAAACAATACAAATTCCTAATTTTCAATTCCGACTGCCACCTAATCTTTCTTCTCTTGGTGTCTATCATATTGTACTCTCTGCGAACAATAAAAGATATAAACTGGCCCTGGGTAGAACTGCATCTGGCTTTCGTAACACTCCAGAACACAGTTTTAGCGTGATACACGGCCCACACGAAATTTGTTCACAGAGCTCAAAAGGTTAGAGGAAAACTTTGGAGCCCCATACAGCACGACCACAGAGGCAAGTGGATGGTTTACTGCATGCGGCCTTCCACTTTCGGAATGACAAGGATTTGAATCACGGGTTTGTTTGAAACCGTACACAACTAGCTCTCGCTTTCAATATCTTTGGAGAACCAGCTCTTTGTAATGACGATCAAAAGCTAGATTTTAATCTGAGTCACCTGAACAGGATTTTCCTGCTGAGCAAACTTCTGTTCTGACATACCTCGTTTCAAGGTCGTTTGCTTTAGAAGAGGCCTTGCATCAACCCAAATCAATGTTCTCATCTCTGTTTGACCACTGTGAGGCCTCCTGCTGTCAGCTACGACACAACCGCATGGTTAAGTACTGGCATATTTAGGGAACTCTGGGTCAAGTCTGTAGATGGGTTTGCATGGCTGCCATCTTGCAGGTCATTGCTTTTGTTCCACAGGGTATGCACAAAGGAGGTTTCCCTGTAGAACGAAGAATTGTCCGGCAAGATGGCTCCCATGTGCAGCCTCTATAGTGTTAACCTCGTGATGTATATTCGGTTTAAAATATTTGTATACAGGACTATACTAGGACTTTTTGTAGGGGGTGCAAATCCTCAACAAAGTGGACCAAGTATAGATTTTTTGCTTTTTATTTTGAAAAAAAAAGCAGGATTCATGAGCCGTACAAATTTTTTTTGGGGGTGGTTACAAGTAAACTCTTGAAGAGGGGATTGACCGAGGCGAAAAATACCCGAAACGCACCACATTTATGTCTTTTTTGCACAAAATGTTACTCTATTTCAAACTCTTTTCTTGCCGCAAAAGCAGACCTTTTAGTCACGTGGGGGTGCAGACGATGGATCTGGTATAATGTTTGTACTGTACATGTTTGCAGTGTGCAGCCATTAAACACTGTTGGCTCAGCCGATGTGACATTTCAAAAAGAAAATGCGATGTTAATTTGGAAAGTCAGAATAACTACAATGTAGTCTGAGTTTTACTATACTTAGTTTTAGCTGAACTACGACTTAGCTAGAGTCGAAAGTCAAATGTTGATGGCTCCCTATCATAATTTAATAATTTGATCATATAAATCGTGCATGGTCACTATAAAGCATTGTGTTTTTCAGTTGAATACATTTGGCCTTTCCAAGCCAAATTAGGAAATGCGCCACTGCGCAACTTTTTTTCTCTTGCCATGCGCGTTCCTGGTTAAAAGACCGATTCTTTCTTCACTCACAAATATCTTTTCACAACCGCTGACTACCGGTACTATTGTTTGCCTCGAATTTTTAGGGGCATGCAGGTAAGGTCACCGCCCATTGTACTCCGGTTTTCAGTCGAGTCCAAACACCTTAAATCCAGAACTTCTGTACATGTACATGCCTATGGTTTTTCATGGTCACTCAACCTTGTATCGCTCTGGGCATCCTTTTTTTTCAGGTTACAAACTAAACACAGCCAAATCAGATTTCAGTTTCACAATGCAGCTGTTTTTGACTGCGAAATTCTCCCTTCTAAAGTCACCATAATCATGGTGTTGAAGGAAGGGCGGTGCGCCATTGAATCATCCCCCACTTTTTTGCGGTGAGCAAAAAATTCATGCGGATTGTGAGGAATTTTACAGACTTCCAACGACTAACATGCATTCAATATCACTCAAAAAAGGGTAAACAATTTTTAAAAGCCATAAATATTCCATTCTGTATACATACTATATTGCAGATATTCATCAATACCATGAACATCGACCTCTTTATAGAGTCATGGTCCCCCCCCTCCGCTTTTCAAATTTTTCATGGCCGGGCAAGTCACCCCTCCCCACCCAAACCCCACACCCCAACCCCATTTCCAGTACAAATGTACGCCACTGGTCATAATTTTTGCCCTCACAAAATTGACTATCTACGGCTTTCGGTTTATAATCTTGCTATGGCAAAGGAAACGAAGACATGTAAATCCTGTGTTCACTAATGTTTACGGGATTCTGAAAGGTGATTACTGTGGTTAGCGTGTCAACAAAACCCAGACTCGTCAGTTGCATAAGGCCGTGAAAAAACTTATGTGCTGTCTAGTGGTGTCCGCTGTACTCTCGCGGAGTGTTATGAAATCTCAGGTTCGACTGATTTATGCAACGCCTGAAAAATTAATCCTGTCAACCGATTTGGTGGATCGTTGATCACGTGACAATGAATTGTCCCAATGCATGGAGCGCAGGCATGCCACGAGGGAAAAAGCTCCATTCTACCGAAAGTTCTATTGCTTGGCTATAATTTCCTTGATATCGTGGGCTAGAAATCGATACCGCACGCGTAAAGAGCGTTTCGACAGCCAAACAGATCTATCACTTGTAAATTCTTGGGTTTTGAACCTGCAGAACTTCGAAATCCAGACTTTGGTGTCACCGAGTTGTAGGATCAATTAATATTCTGTGTTCCTGTTAATGTTGGGTCAAAATACGTATGCATATAATAATGAACCGAAATGTAGCCCGGCGAGAGAGAAAAAAACCACAATTTGATAACTGTTACTCCAGGAAAACAGTAAACCACGCAATCAACCTTGAAACACAAAAAAGGCAAAACGATCGACAACTGCAGAATCTCCAAATTACACCGTTTGATACTAAAGTGATTGAGAGCATTCAGGCTGACGCAAAAATAGCTGTTTTGCTCATAACTGCGGTGGAAATTCATATCTTCGTAAAATTGACAAAAGGGCCAAAGTTAGATTCCGAAGGATATTTATGAAACACAAACAAACAAAAAGCACTAAAACAATAGCTCTTCAAAAACAGTGTTGGGCAGCCTGATCACGGTACATGAATTCGGACATCTGACAGGGGTGACCAGAAGCAACACCAAAGTAAAATTTGTCCACACGCTAGAAAGATGTTAACGAGAAATAGTTTTGTTGTCTGTGTCGCACGGACAATGTACATGTAGTAAATGTATAAGCGCCGATGCATAACAGCTAGTTTCATTTTGAACGGGGTGTGTTGGCCTAAAAGCTGCGCACCAGCCGGAAGCAACCCAGCGCGCAGCGGACGTGAAACCATCTGTCTCGCTCCTCAGACGACCCTCAGTGGGCATTGGCATAATTTTATGTTGCCCATTGTGGAGATCAATCAATTACTGGAAAAGAACAGACGGCCTGCGAATTTTAATCGTGCAGTGCCGTGAGCATCTCCATGGTTACCAAACACAGCACTGCATCGTGGATGGTTTTATTCACGTATAATTTTTTGCAGACTGTTATTCATGTATAAATAATGTCGTCTTTATTTTATTGTCATTTATTGGATGTCTTCTCGATCGTCGGTACTTAAAGTTTAGGCCACGTACGTTTCTCCAACGAGTAATTTCAAATGAGGGGGGAAAAGAGCAAAATTTAAAACCTGTCAGATTTTCCATTTAAACAGTTAATAAAAAAGTGGTTGCAAAGTTTATTGAGTCGTAATTTTCTTTGCTTGAATCCTGTTTATAGACTTAAATATGATCAGTTATTTTAGCCATACCTCGGACATCACAAATGCGCTATCAGTCTTGTAAGTTGTGGGGTCGGTATTTGTAACAAAAAACCTCCCTGGTAACGAAAAACGGCCGGTATTGGCAAACATTAAGCCAAATTGTGTTTTTTTTTCCATGTTAAGTGTGGTCAAGTTATTCCTTATATTTCACTTCTCCTCCCCGAACCGTTGTTTTTTTTTAATTCAGAAATATAAAGTAAACATTATTTGTTCACTTTCTCTTTGTTTTTCTTTTCTTCCCGACTTTCTATTCCCCAAGGGTCTTTTTTTTTTCATTTCCTGTCGTGATTACTTTCACGCCTCTGTGTTTTAGAGCTTTTTTCCTGTCACGTTTTTATTCTGCTAGTGGTTATCATTCTCCATTTTCTCCTTTCTCTTCCTTTCGGGATGGTGGTGATTTGTTTTCTTAATCTTTACGACGATCTTTCCTGACATGATCAGTGTTTGTAATGTTTTCTATCCATCTGTATTCGCTCCTCAAAATCTCTCTAGTCCCACCGAGCGCCTTGTGATCCTGTCGTTTTCCATTGTTTTGTACGTCTTCCTCCAATTTCTACACAAAACTTTTTATGTATTGTTTGTATTTTATATTATTTATTATCAGGTATTTTACTGAGTTTGCCTTGACTTGCGTTTGAAATACCTTTTGAAAGATTTTTGAACTCTTTTTCTGTGGTATCGATACCCTTTAGCCCCTCTTCTTTGCTTTCTTCTCTAATCGTGTAATGCCCACTTTGTAAATTCCTTGTCAAAAGCCCAGCTTTCGAATGTAATACTAGCCTTGTCGGTATCGAGACCGAATAGTGTTATGATTTTTCCGTAAGACGTTGCATATTAATGCCCTATTGCAAAGCGCATAATTTTGTTCAGCGTTCCATTTTCTCTAGTCTAAGAGAATCTGACTGTGCTCTGAATCATTGCAAAAATCGGTCTGAAAAGCTTTCAACGCATTACCACAGCAAATGGGTTTCTCGTGCAGCTTTTGTTTACTCACCGACATTAATTCACATTGATTAATTATCCTGAGCAGGTCATTTGCTGTATGGAACACCGGCTGTTTGTTTTGTTAGTCGGTGGCCATGTCACGTGTCACTTATAATTTGGAGTGTGTGCATTTCATAATCGTTTCTTTGTTAATGCACAGGCTGTTTGCCAAAGGGTGGCACTCAATGCCTCCCGGCGTATCAATTCGCGCAGAGATTTTGTTTGCGAACTTTAAGACCCGACCATTTTCACTTGGTTCGAACACGCGTGCTCGAACATTAACCTGCATTTTGGCATGAGTGTAGGCGCCGTCACATTTCAATCCCGTACACCCGTTGAGCGGAAATTTCGCGGCTGTGTTATTCTAAATAAAAATGGACCCAACGCACTGCACCATACAGTATATGTATGGGAGCCATGTGGTGCATATATTTTTAAAGACTGAAGCATCATTCGAAATTAATCATGATCAACGAACCGTGATCATTCCCATGATTCTGCTTATGATATAATAATAATATAAACTAATAATAGTTACGTGTGGAAAAGATTTAATTGCTATTGACGCAATCGGTTTTGGACCGACAGCCGGTTACGCCTTGGCGATATCATACCGAGGACTGCACTGATGCACGCGCTGGTCTTGAGTGGGCGTTGTTGAACAAATTAAGCATCGACTGCTGTAAATGGACAGAACAAAGCGAAATCACTTCAATTTCTGTCGCGCACGTGTGCGCTAATGTGCAGTGGACAAGATTTACAGTTTTGTTGGTTTATCACCTCGATAATTTCCTTTATTAAAACTATGGAATTTACTCTCATTAGCATCGTACTTCGGACACATTTACCTGTATGAGTTTTATGAAAAGCCCATCTCCAGAATAGTTAGTTAATTTTGCGTTGCACACAATGTGTAATTTTGTAGGTAATTGACACTGCGTGTAATCTGTCTTGTTATAATTAATATGAAATGTCTTCATTGAAACTGTTGTCAAACCTGCTACTCTATGTGTTTTTGGATATTGCATTTTTTCTTTTTTAAAACCATAAAGCTGCTGCAGTTTTGATGGGAAAGAAATCTTGAGTGCTAGATTTCTATTTTTTAATGAATTAAACATAAAGTGCCGAATTCTTCACTGCATTTGCCTGTTGCGTACAGAGGGGAAGCCCTCTCAACCAAATATGGAACCCTCTGCGTCATGATCACCTGAATTGATAGCTCATTTTGTAAAAACGCGAATTGCTCTAAAATGTTTATCCTTTTGTTGATGCGTAGGCGTCCCGGTTGCCACCTTAATAAAGAAAAGTGAGCCACAGTGAAGAGATTGCGTATTCCCTGGCTTAGTCATTGGTCTTTTGCCCAGAAAGTGCATATAGACACAAAAGACCCTCCGTAAAGGGGGTTTATGACGTGCCGAAAACGGCTGAGTAACTTTCAATAGCCCCTTTGTCGTCAGTCTTTTGTTATTCAAATGACCGTCAGGTTGGATGCTACATAATAGGTGACAGGAACTCCCTGTTATTCCTTAACACGGCGCGCCGGACGACGGAAAGTAATTTCGAACCGGAAACCTATCGAGAATATCCACGATTAACGACGTCTTCAAAAGGAATTTCGTGATTTTGCAAGACCAGGAACGCAGTGGAATATATTTGCAGATTTTGATGCTTGGCTATTTGGGTGACATCTCCAAAAAGGGAGCTTCTACTTGCGGAAAACCAAACGACCACACCTAAAACAGGCGACCTCCAAAAATCGAAATCTCCTGTTGGTTACGCCCGTGCTGCCGGGTACAGTTACGCTCCAGCGTTTGGTAGACAAGGATAACAAAGCGCGGGAATCTACCGGTAATAGTTACCAACAAAAACACAAAAAGTGGAGTAGACGTTCAGATCCAACCCGCCATGGCTGTTTTGTCGAGGAGGGGTGTGCTATTGGCATTTTTAAGCTCGATTTTGGCTGGCGTTTGGTGCTACCCATCCGGTGCTCCCACCGGTGCCTGCGTGTCGATGCTACCCGGCCACACCGACAACAACGGAGTGCAAATCCCGGGCCAAGACCGCTCAACAAGTCCCTACACCGTTACGGCTGATGCTGTCGACTTTGTCGCAGAGCAGACGATCACTGGTAAATATATATAATCCCCATGTTACGCCAGTTCATGAAGTGTAGGATGTAGCTTTTACTTAGTGTTGCTGTCGTCCGTTATTGAAGCAACTGTGCGATTTAGCTTATACGGGGTACGCGACCAACTGGACTATGGGTGCCGCATTTTCATAATTTTTGGTGGCAGAACGATTCTTGATACTAAGTAACTAACCACTTTGATTGTAATTCATTGCATCATTGCAAATGTGTTCTTAAAATTATGTTTGACACTGCATTACTTGAAGTTGAACAACTTTGCAGGCCCTTTCTTTATTGTATCATGAAATAGCGCTTTTTTCCAGCCAGTTAATATACACAGCCAAAGTTTGTAATAATTTGTCACTGCCAGCTTCACATATGCAGACATTACCCGGATTCAGTCTTAGCACAACTAAATAAAGGAAAGAGTTCCATATGCAGATGCCACTTGAAACCCTGTGCATAAACCGTGTTAGACTTGTCTGAAAAAGTAACAAATCTTGGTATTTTGCCTCCCAAATTGAACTTCTCTGGAGATGTTTTTGCTTTCTGATGGCTAATTGGTCACTGTGGGGAATAGTTACTGCTGTCCGTATATAATTTCTTTCCTAATCTGGTTTTAAAATAAATGAAGTCAGTTTGTTGTCTATTTTTCTTTGGTTTTCATTTCAAAAATTGATTGCTTGCTAATTCACAGAAATGAAATTTATGTGGTCCAACTTTGAGGCAGGACAAACAGTTACGCAGTGACGCAGTCAGTCTCACACCAGAACTGAAAAAGTCCAAGTCACTGAACCAGGGGGTTAAATTTTTTGAGTGTGACTAGTCAACCGTGTCACCACTGTTGGGCTGTAATGAGCATAGGAATTTCTGCTTGAATTGTCCCTGCATGTGCTGCTTTGTGTTCTGGAATGTTTTTGTATGACGTCAAGCGACAGAAATGTGCTGCTTTGGGAAAGTACAATTTTTTTGTGCTTTTTCCAAATGTTTGTACATGTATCAAACCATTTTTGTAATTTATTTTAACAATTACACAATTGGTGTAATGACCAGATTCTTTGTGGATAAGAAAAGTAAAAATGTGCAAGTCACAAGCTTGTTCACTGAAATGCATGACGAAAAACAGTAATAAACCCCGTCTGTTCACTACATGTAATTTTTTTTATTGTGTACTCGGATTGAGATCATGGGGTAAAAGCTGTCATTAGTGATGAGAAAGAAAGCAGAGAAAGCTGTGGATTACGTTTCTGAGTAGGGGGCAAAAAATGTAACGCATGACTGTATTACCCTTAAAACCCAAGTGGCAACTCCAGGAGGATGAAAGTCTCCACTTATCACCAAAATGTGGTCAGAACTTTTTTTCCACTGGGCCAATTTGGCAAAGATTTCATGCAATCCTCACCCCAGGCATAAACCACAAGCCTGTAGACTCCCATTAACCAGAGACCAAAGACTGCAGAGTTAAACATCTTGGAAGATCAGTATCCCAAAGACGCCCATATGACTGGGAAATGACCTGGTAGTTAAAACATCCACCTCGCTGCTTGGACAGTCGTACAGGTTGAGGCATGACTGGGGACTCGGGGGACTGATGTGAAGATTTTTCTCTGCATGGAGAAAAGGTCCCCCTTTTTTGGCATTGCCGCTGATGAAGAAATGTGCTTGCCAAATGTGCCTCACTCTGGTTTCNGCAGTTTATACTCAAAAACTCCAGTCCCCTTCTTAAGATCTTCATGTGGTGTTTAGTTGTCGTTCATTCACAATTTAGAGGGCAGTGTTTCCCAAGCTCAACTGCTCATCTTGTGAATTTACTGCTGTGCATTTTTTTTACTCCGTGTTTATCTTACAGTCACAGTGTCGGGATCGGTACAGTTCCTGGGCGTCCTCTTGCAGGCTCGCCTCGTTAACACCAGCACTCCCGTTGGAACCTTCACCCCTGTCTCCAGTGGACTCAAGACAATCACATGCTCCAGTGCGGGTGACGCTGTGACCCATTCAGCGAGGCTCCAGACCACGACCAGCATCAGTGTGGAGTGGACGGCCCCTATCCAAGACATCAGCGACATTGAATTTGTGTAAGTATGAACGACATTGTCCATGTATGTCATGTGTCAAGGCATAGACAGATCCTTGGATCTGTCTCCTTCTCTCAAGGAGCAAAACCAAATTTTGTTGTACATTTAAAAAAATCAAAGTTTTAGCTCCCCCTTCAAATTTGGTTGTATTGTGAAGATCTGGCCTTTTGTGGAAGGAGATTGTTGACTTCTGGGCTATCAATTCTCAGGCATTGAGCGTGGGACTCGTTTACATCTTGTTATTATCATGCTGTATCATGCTCATATGGGAATCAAATTAAAAGACTCAAGGCTAAAACAAGGAACAACAGACTTTGGTTTTTTCTTGTTTTTTCCTTTCCTCTAAATTCCCTGTACAAAGCAATGAAAACATTTCTCAGCCAACAAGATTCTCTTTTTCCTAGTGATCAAGTGAACATCGCAGCAGAAATGTCACTGTGTTCATAGTGTCCCAAACTGACATTATTCTCAATGTCAATTCCCAATCTTTGCTCCAGTCCAATAGAATTCAAAGTTGCCGTTGTGTTAAATTGGCAATGGATTGTCTTTTCTCAACACATGATTATGTGCAGTTTAAGATAAAAACTGTCATCAAAATGACATGTTACGTACTTTTGAGATATATTCCCCATTTCCAGAGAATAAAATTAGTACACTTGTTCTTTTTTTATTTATGACAAATTTTGTTTGGGGGAAAAAAACCTGTTGCCCAGATTTTTTTCCTGCATGCTAATTTTCAGTAAAGACTTAAGAGCTTTTGATCTTTTATTTTTTGCAGAGCCACAGTTGTGTATACTGAAGAGCTATTTTGGACACAACTGAAGTCGTCAGTCATTGCAGGTAATTAGCATATTACTTTTGACAGGTTTTTAAACAGGGCCAGAATTGTGATAGATTCACCCCTGTCACGGGATGAGATGCTTGGTGTTCAAACTTGGTCAGTTTACTCAGGTATAGTGACTCGATATGAATGACTGCCTTGGGTTCTACCTGCATTCATTGCCATAGGCAGAGGAAACCCTGCTACGGCAAAAAGGGTGGCCTGACTTGCCCAGGAACAGTTGCTCCCAAATTAAGGAACCATGTTAGAGTGTGACGATAGTGTCACTTGGTCTATACATGAATGCACTTGGGCATTCTTGCCATTGTAACCCAACGTCTGTGTGAGGAGGTTTCAGGGCATGTACTGGTCTATAATGGTCAGCACAGTTGAACTACACAAGCAAACTTATTTCACAAGATCCGTCTTTTTCCTCTGTTTGATAGCGGTGCCAGATGTGTGCGACCCAAATCCTTGTCTGAATGGCGGGACCTGCTTCAAGACCGGAGATAAACGGTCCTACTTCTGCGGTTGCCCGACGAACAGCAACCTAGGGCTCCATTGTGAAGGTAAATCTTATTGCAGCAAACATTTCACTTTGGGTTGATAATGAGCACGAGCTTGTTGCAAAATGTGCTTATAGCAGCAAAAGGTGACATGCATGTTGAGCATATGAACAAGTAGGTGATTTTAACCATAGTCTCTCGATTGCATTTCATAAAAGGTGTGGTTAATGGTTGTAAAATTTCCTTTCTAAAACTAGTAGCTCACGTGGATGAAATATACCTGGATGAAATAGCATACGACATGAATCGGAAGGGAAACGATCCCCCCCACCCCACCTGAACTTGAGAAATTCTTTGTGTACACTCCCAAGGAGAAATTTGAAATTCTTGCTGCTCGGTACTCACAGAAGTTATGTACCACAAAAGTGGTCAAACGAAAAGGTGCTGTCATTTGAAAATCACCATGGCTGCTCCTTATTTCCCTAAAGAAAATATTTGGAGTCAGTGGAGGACATACTCAACCAATTTGAATTATTGAATGTTTGAATCTTTATCCCTCAAAAGNCAGATATAAAGCAAAAACAAACGGTACATTATTATTTTTACTAAACTTAAAACAGAAAACCTTTTTACATTGTGCATCACGTACTGTCAGCTGTCTTTGAGTTGCTGAAAAATGCAAAATTTCACCCAAATAATTTCATCTTTTCACTTTTCATTTATTGATTTTCACCTTCAAATAATCGTTATTGAAAATAGATATCGTGGTATTTGATCAGAGACCCAATATATCAGGACCATTGACTAATTGGTACAGCCCCAGATGGACTTTCTCCAGGAAATGCCACTGTTATGTGCATGTATGGTATGTGGGGTAGGACCATGTTCATGTGCTGGCATTTCTTCCACTGGTTGGCCCAGTTGCTTAGCACAGCTGACGGAATGCATTTCTGAAACATAAAAACTTAAAAAGCGCCTGTTCAGTCTCTGCGAAGGGCAGCAACTTCAGTGTGTGTGGCAGTTTGTATATGGTTTCAGTGTGTGTTTTGCGATACAGAGTAAAATAGATGTCCGACCCCGACACTCACACAGGTCGTTGCCCTCGACGACCTATGTAAGTTTCCTCTTTGCAGTCATTTTGAACCCTTGTGATCCGAACCCCTGCCGTAACGGCGGCGAGTGTTACAGAAGTGCCGTGTCAACTGCAAGCTATGTCTGCCTGTGCTCTGGTCCTTTTGACGGCCACCATTGCGAAAATGTCACGGGTAAGACCGTCAAGCCCCACCTGCTTGGGGGTGAAGGAAAAGCGATTTGTCTCACCGTCAGCATTGTCCATTGCCACCCTTTCATGTCATCGCAGTGCATGTGCATGTTGGTATTCTTGTCCGATCGGACTACCCGCCGCTGTTAATAGATTATGCTTTTACAGTGAAATGCTGCTGTATATAATGCCAGAGGGCAATGCTACATTGTAAATGCCGCATACATCGTAACACTCTCGGCTTCATTGTGTCCAAGGGGGTGGGTACAAAAGAAAAACCAATTGAAGTTGGTTGAGCTGGTTGGCTTGGAGTAAGCAAGAGCAAGGCCGGTACATACCGGTAGCATGTCTGTAAATCAAATCCAGGAGGGAGCTTGTTTCCATCCTTTTATTTGATCATTTTCCCCCTCCGTTTGGTTCCTTGGGGAAAGATCAGTTTTGCAATTGTATGTTCAATTCCTGCCCAAATTTGTAGCCTTGAAATGAGGTTTTACATTGAGAGGACAACTGCAAAGCATTACAGAGTATAATACATGTACACTGTACACCTCTATATCACCTCTAAGGGTTGAAATGTACATGTTGTATTTCAGTGTTGTAATAGCCTTGTTTATTAACAGCAATGTGTATGGTCAGATCAGGTGGTATACTTCGCTTCATCCTCCCTGCCCAGTGCTTGACGACTGAAGTTGTTGGCAGACATCGCAAAATTAAGGCTCACTTTTTAAAACATTTTACTGTCTTAGATGAGTCATTACTCGACAAACTATCACCAAGAGGCACGTTAAGTGGATCCATTGCCCGTACACAACTGGCTTCCACATTCATTACATAGATTAGCCATTGCTGTCTCTGTGCAGTAGTAAATAAATACTAATTAATGAGAGTGGTGCTTTGCTGTATTTGTGTGGCTTTATCATTTGGTTACGCGGGGAGATCGACGGAGCAGTGATGATTTACATTCGCTGTTAATTGTAGACAATTTATTCAGCTTTGTGGAATTTGATTGTTACGGAATGGGTACTTTGAGACAGTGCTCTTTGAGCACGGATTGGGATTGAAACGAGTTGCTGTACAGAAAAGTTTATGTACATACATGCGTGGGCCTGCGGTGGGAGCATTCCAAACTGCAGCAGAAATCAACACATCCTGATGTTGCATCGCCAGATTACAGGCAAATTGTTCAGAAGAACCACCAACACGGTTTACCCTAGATGACCACGTTACCACATTTAACAAATGTATCATTGTTCATGTAGTACATGCTAATTCACACATGTACAGTACATAGATGCCATCTTTCCCCTGTACCGGCTTCGTGCAAGGATGTACCCTTGGATCCATGCCAAACTACCCATGTACATGTCCATGTACATGTATGATGTACACATGGAAATTACAAGAACCAAATCTATTCTCTATGACTACCTGATGTGTTGATTTGCTTCCCATTGGAAACTGCGTTGTAGCCCTGGAAGCCTGCTTCGGACATGGCCAGCAAAGACGGATACATACAAACGAATAAAGTGTACAGATCTAATTCTCATGCATGTATCCCTACCTCCACACATGTACATGTTCCTGATCTGTGTCAAGTGCAGATGTACATTTATGCATGCGTTATTGCTCCTATTTAGTTTTAGTGTTGTTAA